TGGCAATGGCATCGAGCGAAGATGATGCATCTGGTTTTCCAATTGATTAGCAGATTGTGTCTGATTAGCCAATCATGACCAAGAAATACTTTCTTAGTTTCTAAGTTGGTTACTGCCAGATTGATTCATTCTGAATGATCTCCGATTGTGAGCCTGAGCTCCACATATTCAGTAATTGATCTGGCTTAGTTCTTTGTTCCATCTGCATTATAGACTGGGATAGGCACTGCTGTTGTCTGAGTGGGCAGTTGGTGCTTGTTGATGAAAGCCCAATTGATGGAACTCTCTGTGCAGCCACTGTCAATCAGGGCAGTGACTGCATAGGTAGATCAAGACATTAACATCTCGATCTGAACTTTAGCCAATAGATCTTATTCTGGAGACTTGGATCATCAGATGAATTTTTATGGTCCATGCAATTTGTCAAGCCATTCCAGAGCTTAGCACCATTCCATGGCCCTCATTCCAGTGATCATCTCATTGATCACTTCTTTGGCTCAGGTCTTGTGTACCCAGTTCTTGAGTACTGTCTTTGCTGCTGCTTTGTCCTTTGCATCCTTGATGGCTCACTAAGTCCACTTGGTGTCGAATGGCTTTAACCAATCAGTAGGATTCTCTACCCCTGTTCAGCCCATAGGTGATTGAGTCTGTTTCATATATTTAGCTTGATGAACTTTTAATAATGACACACCTTTGGGGCTTTCTGCCCTTCTTCAGCTCTTTGTCAGCACTTGAGTCATTGGAGTCAGTTCCTTAGGCAATTCATAATAATGAGTAACAGGGTTGGGTATATTTGAATGCACACATAATTTAGACATAGGGGATGGTACTATAGAGGGTAAAATATCAGTCTGTCCAGCAGTTTGTGACCTGTTATTTGTGTTCTTGGCCGAGTCAGTGAAATCACTCACTGCTCAGTCTCACCTTTTACCTCCTTGGCCTTGTCTTCTTGGCCAAGGTCCTGTTCCTTCTTCATCAACTCAGCAATCTGTGCTCAAATATCTTCTTGGATGCATTTGTCCTTCTTCTGGGGACAGTTTCATGCCATGTAGCCCTTCTGACCACAATTAAAACACTTTCCTCCCTTCTTGAGGTGATCCATGTCCATCAGCTTATCTGTTCTGATATATGTCATGCCTATACCAGTTTGCTTCTTGACATATTGAGAAGTTGGGGCTGAGCCACCAGGCTTAGATAACGTGGTTGCCTGGGAGGTAGAGGGCTTCCAACCCTGTCTCTGAGTTCAGTGTCCATCCCATGATAGGGTGGACAATTCCACCTTCTGCCACTGCTGTTCTCACCACATGATGATAATTCTGGTCTTTCACTCCTCATAACTGACTGGGATACTATGGCTGAGATCAGAAATAGTCTTGAGGTACAAGGATGATAGTCCTCGTTTCATATATTCAACCATTTGTCTGGTATCAGCCACATCCTCCTGTACCCCAGTGAGCTTTCTGAGTCATTCTAACTTATTGAAGTAGTTGGTGGCTGCCTTGTCACCCATCTTGTAGTCCTTCATCTTCTGTTTGTGGACTTTCTGGATGGCTGGATTCATGAATTTGTCTCAGATCATTTGTTTGAATACTGGCTATGAGAGGTATTGGTGATATTATCACATGGTTGACCAGAAGGCAGGGGCAAGAAGCACCCACCATACCTTCACCTTATTCTTCAGATAAGTCAAAGCATATGTCACCTTGTATATGTTGAGTAAGAAGTATGAGGCAAACACTTGGAAGTATTGATCGCAATCCATAAGAAATCAATCAATGTCATCTGAAGCCCCTTTAAAGGGGAGTGGGTCCTGTACAAGAGTCAGTGTGACCTTTAAAATTTGTGCCCCTGCAGTGATAGAGGGCATCAGGTTCAGGGACACCCCCCCTGGCAGGCCTGCCCATTCTTCTGGTGGACCAGAGAAGGAATGAAGGGATCCATCATCAGCCATAGAACTTTCTAATGGAGGAGGCTTCTTCTGCATGATCTGCCCATTCTGGATGGTCCAGCCTTAGGCTGTGGCATCAGGGTCATCTCCTTCTGGAGCCACAGAGGCTCCTCTACTGCCTTTAGCTTCATCAGGCAGTGGTTGTCTGGCAAATGGTCACTGGACTGGAAATCTCCATAGGTTTGAGAAATGGCTACTTGGCTTGGGTCGATATTGAGAAAGCCAAGATGCTGAGCTGTGGATGGCTGACATGGTGAAAGAATATCTTGTCACTGCTGATCAGATTGATGGAGTTGTGTATGCTGATTTGGGCAGCATCACACTTGGCATCCATGGTATAGGTGCTGTTCTTCTGCCATACTTCGGCTTGTATGATGGTAGTGGTCCCATCTGATAATGTAAATATCTTTGATTAGAATTAAAAATGGTCTGCTTGGTGGTCACATATTGCAAAATTTCCTCATGCTCAATAAAATTAGCAGAGGCATACCTTCATCCCATGGATGATCTCAACCAGAGATTGTCCTTCCACAATTTGGCTACCTGCTCTTGGTACAACTGAATGAATTCCTCTGCTCATGCTTCACACTCCTTCTCCCATAACTCCTCCTCTGTCAGAGGCTTAAATCCTGCCTTCCACTCAGAGAGAGGATCCTCGACTCTCTGATCAAGGTCCTCCCCCTTGTCCTCATTGTCCATGTCAGTCACCTCCTCTTTCTCTAGGAGAGAACTGTCATGTGAGTCAAAGACCTCTGGGGTGGCTGGGCTGGGGTTGTGTGCTGGGACCAGCATCATCAGATCTGGGTCAAGGAGCAGGCTGCTTGGACTGCTCTGGTGGCTCCTCAATGCTTGTTGTTGTTCCTGGTGCCATTGCTCTATGATACTGGTGGAAGTTTCTGTAAAACTTCAGGTTGAGAAATAAAGCTGCAAAGTTCCCATCGAGAAACTTCTTGAGATTGCCAGTGGAGTCAATACTCTCATCATCCCCACTGATGACTCCTTGGTCCTCTGGTATCTCATTTCCTCAGATGGGGATGTCATCTGTATCTGTAATGGTATCAGTCTCATATGATAATAGGCAACTGTCACTGAGGTGACTCAAGGCCTCATTCCTGATGAGATCTGCCCAGGGGTCAGACTCAGTAGTGGGAGTGGCCAGTTCTTGGAATGGGGAGTTGGAGATGGTTGTTCTAATGGCTGTAGTAGTCTGACTACCTCCCTCATTCCTTCGATGCTCCTCTGCTGCTCATGCCTGGAGGTACCACCCAAAGAGGATGTTCTTCCTCATGATTTCATTGTTGATGCATGCTTGCTCCTGCCTGTACTCAGGAAGGTTTTGGGCATGTCGAATTTAGTCCTCTCTGGAGAGGACCAAAGGAAGGGCCAAGGTTGGTTGTATTCCTGCTGGAACCATTCATATGCCCTCTATTCTGCTAGTATTACCACTAGCTGCACAGCACTCCAACTGGTCAGCTTCAATGGCAGCAGTTCACCACCAGTGGTGCTTGTTGCTGTCATCATTTCAGTAGGGGTCACTATTGACTCCTGTTCTGTGGTCAGTACTTCTGCTTTGTGCTGACATTGATCTTTAGGACCTATGGCCCCTGGAACCCACAGTTTCTTGAGCCATCCATGGGGCATCCAAGGAGTCTCTAGCATGGTGCCCAATGCTGGTGCTAGAGACAGAGCTTGTTGTCCTTGTTGCTGGGATGCCTTGCTTGGAGGATGAGATGGGGGTGTCGGATCAGAGTCATTGAAACCCTGTAGCCCAAGGGTTTCCAGAGTCTCAGACAACTGCAGATGGGAGTCATAGAGGGTATGTGTGCTGCTGATGCTGCTCCTCTTCTTCCCTAGGACATTCCTGAGTCGAGCTCTCAGAGACATTTTCAGGATCTGTTTCTTCTGTGGGTCAGAAAGACTGTCAGGCAGAGGCAGGGATATCATGGAGGGGGAGGTCTGGTGTAACATTGTGGAGAATGGTTCAGATGCATTGGAATTCATAATAGTGCCTGATTGTCCAAGCTATGATCAATTGGCATCCATGGCACAGCTGTATGATCACCAATAAACCGATCAAAATTCCTATGATAGAAGCCAAGAGTTTAAAGAACTTGTGAGTAAAGTTTGGATCGGAAGGGTTAAGAGCAGGGGGCATTTGGTTCCTCAGCACAATTGGGCTTAAGGAAGGGAATAATAAGTGTTAAGCTAATTGTTAAGCCCAAATTCCACATGACTATCAACATGTGATAAACAGTTCAGAACCTCACACTTCGGGTTAGACTGACTGAGTTCATTGATGTGTTAATAGAGTTGTATTGTCAAGGCATCAGCAAAAGCTTGAGCTCGAGAGTAGATGGTGAAGAATAAACTTTAGCTTAACACTGGAGCTACTACAGCAAAAATAGTGCTACTTAAATACTGTTCTGTTATCTGGCTATTAATAACTGTTCACAAAAGATATTGTCTGTCATAGAGCTGTTACCCCTGCTGTTGCCAGGCTCTCCACAAAAGCTGTTGTCTTGCTGTTGTGCTGTTGCTGCTGCAATTGGGAAATAAAAGGAGCATTGTCTCTCCCTTCACAGCACACAGTAGCATGATAAGATGATGACTGATTGGGTTGCTGAGCTAAGCATTCCCATGGTTCTAAGCACTGGCCTAAGTGCCTTGACTAAGCAAAGATAGGAGTCATTTTCAAAGAAAAAGAAAATAGAAAATGGAAAAAATTGTAACAATATAGGTAGCTAAAATTTTTTCAATGTTGAAGGAACTTGCTATAAACTCCAACTATAGTTGTGTAATACAACTTTTCTATACTTGTTTACAACCCTTATCTCAATCCCAAACCTCAACAGCTGTGACACACTGAGCCATGTCTTCTCAATAAAAACTGAGCAGGAGGTAGTAATGAACAAGGTTAAATCCATTTTTGTCCATTGTATTGTAGTTGACATTTCAGTAGCTTTACTTGAAGTGGTTATCATACTGAGAAAAATATAAATACACTGTCTTTCTGCAGTCTTTCTCAACCATCTCACTTTTCTCTCTCTAAGTCATGGCTGCATTACATGGTTTTACCAAGTATCAGTCACCAAGTCCTTCTGCAAAATTCTCAGACAGTTTCTTTGACAAATTGACATTTTCAAGTATTGTGGACCTTGACTACCCCAGCATTGCACCAAGATATTCATTGTCAAACTTTGTCTAAGATACAGACATCTCATCTACTGCATCTGGTATGCTAATTCTATCCAACAACATAATTCCCAATGGTGCAGATCTAGCCACTATCATTTAACACTTTCCAACTGCCTATGAACAAGGATATTGTTTTGTGAATATCACTATTCATCTGAATAACAAAAATTAAACACAGAATTTCATTTCTCTAAAGTATGCTCCATGTTGTGAGTTTGATAAGTTAATCTAATAATTTATAGTTATGTCTGTGTGTCATTATCAACAATCATCATAAGAGTGTTTCTTTAGCAAAATGTCTCATCAATTCAATTATTACCAATCAGCTTCTGCCTGCACATGACCATATCTTATTCCTCTAGTCAAGACCTTTTTTGTTTGTTCAGGGCTTTTATTCTGCTTATGTATGGCTATAGAAACTTGGGCATTTACTAAGAGAGAAGTGGGTCAAGAAAAATGTCCTGAATCTTGCATCTGAGTTTCTGTATTTCCAAGTAGCCCTTCTAAGCAAGGATCCAACTTGTCTGTTTTTTCTCACATCTTTTTTTGCAGATGCACAGTGGTGCTATTCACAAAACCCACACTTCTTTTCCCCTGAAATTCTTGCATTTTAACACAGATTGGCTTTCATAAGAGTCAAATTGTATGGATTTATTGTCTGGAACAACAATCACTTTGTTGGTTACTTTTTCAGTCATCTTGGGCTTTTTGAACATGGAAATACACTTCACTATCCACTGGCATATGACATTTAAGATGTTTTTAACTGGATAATTGATGGTGTTGAACCTCATGTTGATATTGTCACATAGAGTGTACTACTGCAGGATCCTAGTGGTGGCTATGGTAGCTGTGGTATCTTGGCCTATAATTTTATGAAGATACATGCTCAGTCTGATATTCCTTAATAGGATCCATTATTCTCTGGCAATTTTCAAGAGATCTTACTATGAGACTTATTAGTATATCATAACATATCTCAAAATCAAAATTTCATGAGTATGGCTATATTTATTTTCAACATGTATCTGACTATTTGTGCTACACCAGTCCTTCTTTGATTGCATTGAATCTTGTGATAATAAATGTGAAGATCTTGCTCTCAGCTATTCGATTAGTTTGACCAGCTATAATGAGTATAATATCTATAGACTACTAGTATGTTAGATTCATTCACTATTATTACTATAGTGACCAATCAATCATAGGAAACTCATCCTATATTCAAATTCTTGGATTGAAATCTTTCCAGTCTACATCTGACACTGCTACTGACCATATTAGATCTTTAGCCACAAGGAAGCTTTGATTCTCTATGTTATTCTCCTCTTGGTGCAGCCTTTGAAATAAAGCAAGAAGCTAGTCTCTCAATGCCATGTTTGCAATTGCCATCTGTAATTCTTTTGTTGTCACACTTGCCAAGACCATCTAAAGTCAAATCAAAATAGGAGATCAAATATTCTCCATCATTGGTCCTTTTATCACCACCACCTTCTACAAAGCAGGTCAGAATCAAGAAACAGTCACCATACATTCAGTTCCTACCATCTCCACCTCCCAAACAACATAAAGGCACTATTATAGTCAAAAAGCAGTCATCATCTATTCAACTTGTATCTTCACCTCATAAAAGTGTGTAAAACAGTATTAAAAGCAGTTGCCATCTATTCAGCTTTTGTCTCCACCAGCATGTGTCAATGTGGTATCTGCACAAGCAGTTCTATGTTGGAGCATAATGTATAACACACTGGAGGAGGCAATCAAGACTGTTATATACCAAGAGAGCTTGTTGAGTCATAAATGGAAGCATTCTCATATTCACTGAGATGGAAATGGGATGATTTGAAGGAAAACCATATGCTGCAACCAGTATGAAAAGCATAAATCAGTTCATTGTCTGAATATTGATCCTGGGGATCACTGAGAGGGAAGATCAATCAAAACAGACTGCCATGCTCATGTAAACATTGTCTGTGATATTTCTGGAATATCTATCACAAATGAAGATTCAATGGCATATCAAAACAATCAATCTGGAGCATAATCATGGTCCTCTTGTAGCTCCTGGATCTATCCTCCAGCTGCTGCTAACAAGTAAAGATAAAGATGAAGTTTGAAATCTTGTTAAAGCAAATTTAACATCAGCACAGATTTGTTCTGTCTTAAACAATCAGATTGACACTCATCCTTTGGGGCATCACCAGGTCAGAAATCTTGTTGCTGGCATCAAGCACTCTGCTTGCCAGAAAATTGACAGTATGGGTGGTGATATTTCAGCAATCCTCCAATCTCTACAGGAGAGAAAGTCTCCTGCCCAGGTCCATCTTGCACATTCTTATGATAATATTCTGATCAATGATAATAGCTATAACTATATTAATTGTGGTTACCTTCTCAATATTGGTGTTGAGCTTGATGGGTTTCATAAAGCTCATAACCTCTTCTATTATGTTCAAGAGAGAGAAGATGCTGCAATTTTTTGCTGGGTTTTACAGAACTTCTTAGCTATCATTGATTCTCCTCCTGAAATCTTTATCAGTGATCGAGATAGAGCACTGATATCTGCCATTGCTAAAGTTCTTCCATTAATACTCCATGTTTATTGTCTTCACCATCTGAAAGGAAATATTGTGCAAAAGTTATGGCCAATCCTAGGAGGTGACTGGAAAAACTTTCAGACCAACTTTTGGAAGGTTTACAGAGCAGTATCACCTCAGGAATTCAAGTGACTATGGAGAATTCTTGTTGCACAATATCCACTAGTTAATTCATACCTGGAGGATGAAATATATATGTCTTGAAAGCATTGAACCTTAGCATGGGTGAGCACTGTGTTCACTTGTGGTGTCTATACAAATGGACATGTTGAGATTGAGAACTAATAGATCAAACCACTTGAAAGTCTGAGAACTTCTCTGAAGCAGCTCTTTAACACTCTTTGTAAGCACACTGAAGCTCAATCAGAGCAAAATAACACTCATGTTCATGAGGTAAGCCACTTCTCATGCTGCTTATAGCCTATGCTGAAGCCTGAACAGTTATCTCAATATCAAAAGGATAAGCCAATTGAAAGTATCTTTCTGAAACCTCTTCAAATATTACATGAGCATATAGTTCCATATGCCCTGCATATGTGCTTTAAGCAGATGGAGCTCAGCATGTTATATAAGACCAAAGTTCTTCAAAAACTAGAAGGAATTAAAAATTGAGTGTGTACTCCTGTTATCAGTGCCACTATTGTTCTGATACTTATGGCCTTACCATGGTAGACCAAATATGCAGTCTGCATTGAGAGTGAGATAGAATATAATTGGGAAAACAATGAGGAGAAAGTGAGAACTGCTCAATTATTTTATGATCGATATAAGTATTAACTTGGCCATGCTGTTAGCAAATGATCTCAACATTTGGAACTGATCATGCTCTGATTTTGACATGCTAGCAGTTAAATCTTATCTTATAATATGGATTGACAGTTATACATCTTCTCCATATCCAACATCTTGGCAGAACAGATGCTACACACTATCTTGCTGTTTTATCTGATGGAAAACATATATGCAACTGCTATATGCTCCTCAATCTTGGTATACCCTGCTGGCATTTCTTTCAGGCCTTGGCAACTTGCATCTGGGGATTGTATTTTAGTATTGGGCTCATTTGTGCATAGTATACTCTTTTCTCATCTAATTCTGAATCATATCAATTTTCTCACTCAGATGATATATAAATCAAGGACTAGACTCCTCCATCATTCTATCAATCATATTAGACCAAATCTGACATGATCCTCTTGCCTCAATGCCACCAGCAGCATGGTTAAATCCTTTGCATGCACTTCACCTGAAAATATCAGCACCTATTCAGTGTAGTAATGATATAGTGCCTGCTCACACTGTGTTTCATGAATCACATGCTGCTATTAAGCCTCTTTTGCAGGGTATTCAAACTCAGAAACAGCTTGATGATCTATTGAAAAAACTGCATGATATCAGGTACCTAGGTTCTAACTGCTCATCTTACATTAGGATTCACTCACTGTCTATCTAAGTGGCAAGATATCCAGCAATCAAGACAGAACAGACTATAAGATCCATCAGCTCTGAATCCAGTTGGTCATCTATATACTCAGCAGCTCACAGGCACTCTGAAAGGTCATCCTCATAGAGGTGGAGGTGCCTCATATCAAGATCCATATACAGTAGCTTCTGAGAATGCAGTGGTATCTGGATGCCAGTGTGGCTATTGCTGGATTCAAGGCCATACTCATCTTAACTGCCCTAGTTTGCAAAACTTGAATTCTTGGTAGATAATGTATCAATATAGTAATCCTGTCAGACAAATTCTATGATCTCATTATTTCATCATACATGCTAACATTCCAGGAAAGCTGCTGTACCAGTGCTTCTTGCTGGAGAGAAGTGGGGCCTAGCTGTAAGATAATACCAGAGGAGGTCATACTGCACATGAGGTTCCAGCACTTGACACTGAATGCACTAATACAAGTACAGAAAGATCCACTAAAAATAAGGAGCATATGATCAAAATATAATTAAAGCTTTGCATGTGACTTCATGTCATATTGATCAATAATGCATAGGTATTGATGGACTGTAGGACATGTTCTAGAACAGAGCATTATGCACAATGAGATAAACCCAAATATCAGAAGTATTGGTCAGGAAATGAGAAGATTTGGTGGAAGTAATAACCACAGAAATGATCTCAGGAGTCTGAAATGACTCCTGTGCATGGATTAATTACTCCAGAGAGATAAAAAAGTGAAGAGACCAGTGGCTAGGCTATTAACAGAGCTAACCAGTGTCAGGTTGCATAGAAACTAAAGGTGCAGTCCTGATCCAGAGCAGAATATGCATGTCAGATAGCAATATGTGCACAAATGACATGTAAGAGACTCCAGAACAGAGTTCTGTGCATTGAAACTACTATATTTGATGTCTCTTAGTAAGTACAGTAGTAGCCTATTTAAATACTGCATTGTAAGAAGTAGTAGACAAGTTTGCAACCCCCCACAGTTGCAGTGTATTGGGCATAAAGACCTTACACTCCAGCTCTGAGTTTGTGTTTGTAACTTTAGATGAGAGAATAGACCCATTATTGAGATCATTCAGAGAGAATTGAGAACTGTGTGAAGCATTGAAGCTCCTATGGGACTCTAGTTTGATTTAACCAGAGGTTTTGGATTGTGCTCTGGCCTGAGAATAAGAGAACAGTGTCTAAAGAGCACTATCTTGAGTTTTTCAGATACTTGTGATATAATGCACTATATGTTGTAGAGGTTCAAACCCTTTGGATCTGTGAATGGGGTTTTACTGTGTTTTTGTGTCTCTAGATTGTATAGATTTGAATCCTATGAGTCTACAATCAGTTTGAAAACTTGTGTGCAGAGGTTTGAACTCTTTGGCACTTATGGATGTGTTTTGAAGGTGTTTCTGCTTAGAGCATAAAGCTTTGAGTCCTGTATTGTGTATATTAGGGATTTTGAGCTGATTTGAGCAGTGCTTGAGACTTTTGAGAGTTTTGTGGGAGTGTTTTGATGTATTGTATTAAGCTACAGTACTCTTGCCTTGAGGTCCAGCAACATTTGTTGCTATCTCTTGTTTTTGATAAAATAAAAAGCTTTGAGACTTAAAGAGATCTAGGATTGTTAAACACATGCTATTGCTATTCATGTGCAGTAAATCATTGAAGAGACAATTGTACTTGCTATAAAATTACTCTTATCACATTACAACCCCCCAATGAACTAAGAAGTATTGTATGTGTGTTAGTGTGGGTGTGATCAGTGAAGAGCACTCTGCTGTATCAGTTTTCACATTATGCATATGCAAAACCTCTTCAATGATCTTGAGCTACATCAGATTGACATCAAGAAGGCATATTTGAATGGGCAACTCACAGAAAGTGAAGTCATCTACATGTGACAATCTTCTGGCTATTTGAATCTCCAGTATTCTTATAAAGTCAGTTGTCTTCTTAAAGGCTTATACAGATTAAAAAAAGCTGGCTGACATTGGTATCAAGTCTTGGTTGACATACTAGTTAAAGATTAGGCTTTACTCAATGTGATGTTAACCAGGCTGTCTTCTTTTGTCAAGCAAAAGGAAAATTTGTATTCATTGTCATTATTCATCTTGATGATTATATCCTAGCAGCCTCCTTGCTTCAGCTTATCATAAAGTTCAAGTCTCAAATTTAAAAATATGTACAAATTACAAACCTTGATGAAATTTGTTGGATTTTAGGGTTTGAGATTCAATGTGATAGAAAACATCATTCTATTCATCTCTCATGACAAGTCTATATCAAAGCTATCATTCACTGGTATCATTTTGAAGACTTGAAGCTGTTATCCATCCCTATAGACATTCAAGTCCAGCTCTCTTCATTTCAATCTCCTTGTATGCCAGACCAGCATGCTAAAATGCATGGTATTCCATATGCTGAAGCCATTAGTTCATTGATGTATGCAGCTGTCAGTACTCATTCTGATATTGCATTCACTGTTGCTGCCTTGTCTCATTACATGGCAAATCCTGGACCAGTTCATTGAAAAGCTGTGAAATGAGTGTTTCACTATCTAAAAGGGACTTCAGACCTATGGCTAACATATGGTGGTCAAAATATATCACTTTTAGGCTATACAGATGCAGATAGAAGTAGAGCAGAAGATTGACATGCTATATCAGGATATGCCTTCCTAATAGATGAAGGAGCCATATCCTGGAGTTTAAAGAGACAAGAAATTATCTCTTTGTCCACCACCAAGAGTGAATACATGGCACTCATATATGCATCAAAAGAAGCCCTATGGCTATACTCACTTATTTGACAGTTATTTTCAGATCTAACTCATATTGTCTCATTATTGTCCAACAACCAATTGGCTATTTTGCTCATCAAAGATCAGAAATACCATCTTTGCACCAAGCATATTGATATTCATTTTTATTTCATATGCTGAGTGATTGAGAGAGGCAAAATCTATTTAATCTACTGTCCAACATCAGATATGGTGGCTGATATTCTTACTAAACTCTTACCTTCTCCAAAGGTAAAGCATTTTGCAGCTGAACTTGGTTTATGATGCTATGTTTAAAGAGGAGTACTGAAATGCTGAGTGATCCATGGACAAACATGTCACTGTAATGCTTGTGACATCTAATTATAGCCTTTTCATTGCATGATCTTCCTTGTATTTGTATCTGTGCTTCTTGTCTCAGCAGCTGTTTATGTACAAATAGCTGTTGGTTGCTCTTCTCATTTGTTAACTGTAACAGCTGAGCTTACTTCAACTTTATCTAGTTATCCTCATACTGAAATTCTTCCATACTACTCTCTGTTTGATAAAGTGTGAATCACTAAATAACTTGAAAGAATCTAATCCTCCTGTTCTTTTAGCTATCAGCATTTGGACTCCATCTTTCTCTATGTTGTTGTCTATATCTCCACTTGCATGCAATGTAAATACAAATGTTGAAACACCAGTGACTGGATCTATGGTGATTGTTGACTGCACCAGGTTGGCAGGAGAAGGTGGTAAAGGTGCATCACATTTTCCTTTCCACCATGGTGGATACTGGTCTTGTTTCTCTTCTCCAATCTTTCAGTACTTTTTTTGTGTTTGTCCAACTCCTTTGCAATAGAGATCTATACTGTACCTGTATATGAGTATGACTGTCAACTATATAGATTGCATGCAGATATAGATATCCTGTATCTGCAACTGTACAGAAGAAATCTAGGAGCTTTATGATATGGTAATAATACTGCTTGTATTACAGGTATATGACCATACCTTTGTTCTGTACTTAAATATGTACCTAAAACTATGGCACAAATTTTACCTCATTCTTATTGTTAGCTAAAAGTTTCTTGACAGCATTGTAAGCAAGTCAAAGCTTGTGTTTGACTAACATCAGAACACAAATGGTGTCTGGCTTTAACCATGCTTGTCACAGAAAAATAGTGTCTCTACTTCCAGAAAACACATGCTCTACTGCTACTGCAGAGCCTGAGATTGAGCATAATGTCAGCACACATATTGCATCATCTAATATACAATCATATCTGAGATTGATAATAAATCATAGACAAGACAATACAGTTATAGAAAGTTATAATGGCAAATATACTACCAATTCACCAGGTTAGTGTTATGGAAATTCTCCTTTGAGAGAGAAAAATATCATTTAAGCTTATCAACAGTGACTGCAGAATCATCATCATCATATTAAGATATGAAGTCCACCTTTTGAAATTCATCAAGAAATATAGATTCCAATAGTCCAGCTGCTGGAAGTGATGGAGTATCACAAAGATTAGATATAGTGGAAGGATAGTAGTGGTTGAAGTAGTCTTATAAAAACTATTTTGAACTTTCAAGATGAGTATCAAGATCAGCATCATTTTTATAGTCTCATCTTAACTCTTTAGTGTATGATATTCATGGATCAAGAACTATAGAATGGTTGGTCCCCTCACTTCATATAGTAATCAATCACTTACAAGTAGCTCATGTATAGAATGGTGATTCATCATATTTGTAGTAGTAGTCACCAAGTTTGTGATATGCATCTAACAGGCCTGTTTTTAACTCAAGAGACATGGTTGAAAAAAGAGTAGCTATAATTGTCTTCACATTGTTGG